TAGAAATGCCACGAAAAAAATAAACCCTGTTCGACTCAATGCTGAACGTCTTACCCGGCTTGAGAGTCTTGATGGCGACCGGGGTGGTGTTGTTCCACACACCCTGCCACACCTCCCCGAACTGGCCGTGTCCCAGCTTCTTAATCAGCTTCAGGGATTCCCTGGGAATCTCCCACTGGTCCTTGGAGTTGTAGCAGAGATCGATCTAAATATGAATACAAGTCCATCCATTAGAATCAATTCAAATGCTAGTATGTACACATATAGTAAACTAGAAAGGTAACATTTGCATGTAGATAAAACATCACTAGTAACCATGGTCATTGACCTTATAATCTCCTGTGCTATCACCTTATACACCAATGTTATTTGTTATACTTAGATATAATAAGTGACCCTATGTTTTATCTTAATACGAGCTCTGAAAATGTTTGTAACGAATCCGCAATTCAGCACGCGGGCTGCAAGTGATTTGCATTTTAATAAACCATTCATCATCATCTGCAAGACCTTCCAGGCCTTGGAGACACTCTAACTGTAAAGATGTATTAGACATGTAGGTGCCATTCAATTACCTGCGGTTTCTCTATGACTTCCAGTGGTTTTCTGAGGGTGCAGCACAGCCCGTAGGAGGCGGTGGAGTAGTGGTCCACCAGGGAGGCCAGGTCTGGGAAGGTCGTGCGGCGGTTGATGTAAAACTCGCCGTTAGCCCACCGGCCTAAGCGGTAATGTTTCACTGCGGAAAATCAACGCATCATGTCAGCTAACAAGGAATTTGGAATCTATCTGCAGTCTTTTCTTCAAATAATTTCCTCAAATTATATACAAAGACTTGTCTTGTCCAGCATATGGCTGGATCTCGGCAACTTTTATCAGCGAAAGTTTGTGTTTCTTTTTCTTTTGTGCAAAGCTTTTCATTCTTGTCATTTGTAGCGTTAAACTAGTATTGAACGTAATAGGTAAATGTGTAAATGTTGCAGGTGCGAGAAGATTCTTAGTCAAATGTTGAAACCTTTTAATCAAAAAGCTCTTTATCTATGATGTGATCAACTGTGTTCAATGTCTTACCACTATTGACGTCCCGGAGTGACAGGGAAAACTCCCCTAGCTTGCTCTCACTCTCCCTCACGAGGAAGGAGCCTTGTTCTCCGGTCTTCAGCAGCTGTCGCTCCGCGTCCATTCGCTTGATTTTCCCGAAGAACCACCTGTAGTAACCATAACGTATACGCGTAAGGACAGTACATGTACCAGTACACTCATTATCGTCCTACCCACTATTATTACCTTCGTGTAGCAGTATATATATGATTCTGGCAGTGTTTGTTTAGATACATGTATTTACGTATGCCGTTTATAACTATAGACCAAGAAGCTACGAATCTGTTGTCATGAATTTTATTATGTGGTTATGGCCTATTAATGAAATTATTAGATTTCGGACCGCCTGCTGGCTTTCCTCAGTACGTACTGCAACAGAACTTCCAGTTTAGATATATCATGTTCTGGACAATCTAGGGTCATGATTTTCTTGGGGGGGCGTGGGAAGATAGCTCTTGGCCACGTAGTCCAATCTTTCACATTGTATCTTTTATTTGACTTCTATTCACAGTGGACACATGATGTGCTCTACAAATACCAGACAGTAGCGACGATGGAAAATGTCGAAAATAGACAAATGACCCTGTCCCTAAGCGACAGTGCGTAAATGTTCAAACGCACACGGGCTTTTTCAAAGTGTGAAAAACGTACACATTGGACGAGGCTACAGGCCTATAGGGAGAGTATCAAATAACAAGACAAAATGAATCTTTGTTTATTGTTTCGCCCCGTCTTATGCATGTATTCAATGCATAACTTCCGCTATCAAATAAGATGATCATATATAATGTAATATGAGTGATTGGTAGGGTCGCGTGGCGTAACGGCAGAGTGCTCATCTCTAAACCAAGGGGTCCCGGGTTCGAGTCCTGACATGCCATCGATCGTGTGCCCTTGGAAAAAGGCACTTTACATACCTTTCCTCACTTCACTCAGGTGAAAATGAGTACTGTATTGTCCCATGTGTTGGTGGCGGCATTAATATAAGCCGAAACGACTTGTGTACCGACACCACGTCTTGTGATTACTTGTTAGAATAAACAAAATATGCGTAATTAGTTACCATCTATGCATTGAGTTGCTGTGAATTGAATCAAATCGAGTCAACAGATAAAGTTCGTAATTTTTTTCAGTATTGGTTGAAGTCAATCGTTTATATCAACCATTCTTATGATGTAGAGGCAAGTTTGATATAAGATTTTAAAATCAAATTCCTGAACTATATAGATCATATGGCAAGACTTTCCAACATAAAAAATTGCTACCGAGAAATATAGGATCGTCTCTTTTGTCACAATCCTTCTGACCTTTCTTTACATACGTAACCATTTTCTCAGAAGTGCATTTCTGTGCTCCTCTGTGCTTACATGTCGTCTGAATTCTGACATTTTTCGCCATCTTTATTTATTTTTAAAGATGTCAATCTGGCATTTCTACACCATGTCTTCGATGCAGCAGTTCTTCTCAATCCATGTAATTTCATTACTTTCGTCTGAGCTATGATTGGTCTGCTCATGATTCACTTATCTTGGTGATGTGGATTAAAATACGAACGTCTAGAAAGAGGGTAGCTTTCACTTAAAAGTGGCTGGCCAGGATACCAAAGGAAAGGCCGTCCAAAAATATAAATCACTTAAAAACGCTTTAAAAACGTCCGAAACAGGCCTAACCTTTGCTTGAAGGTTGACATGTAGACTGAGATCAATTAAGTTCAGAATGCGTCGCGATTGGTAATGTACATGTATACCCAGCGGGCGCGTTATTATTGATTGTAGCGTTATTACTGTATTGGTAATAAAAATGTTTTTATTCTGTCAAATACGTAGCTGGTGTTACATTTAGCAAACCCTAACAAAGACACACGTGATGGGTAATGGAGATCTTCAGAATGGCAAGAAGCCAAAGACTAGTCTTCTTCCCTTTAAATGATGTGGTTTCTATTTCTAACTAGAGATATTACAGATTTTACAGATCCGCTAGCCGCTAGCTGAGTGTTGAATTTATATTCTGCAGTACTATCTACACACGTTTGTTATGTGTCTGTTAAGTCTTGACCTGTACCTAGCCCGTCGTGGCATGAATGTACAATAAAGGTATTTCATTCATTCTTTATTATTAAAAGCAGCTAGCCTTTTAATTTTGATGAAGCCTACTTACAGATCAATTATAATACATATCAGACAGCAGATACTTGGCGTTTTAAGGTATAACGAAATAGATTTTTAAACATCTTGGTGATAGTAGTACTATGAAAATGCCTCCAAAACTACACAAATGAAATACTGGTTTTCAACGATATCTAGGTCATGAGACTTGAAAAAAAACAGGCATCCTTTGTGGCTTGGTTTTATCATGTATATTGATACAGAGTATACTCGAAAAATCCGGAAGTATTGGTATTTCAGAAATTTGACCCGAATGACTATTTGGGCCATAGGGACATCTTTATCATAACACATACCAACTAAGGCTAAGGCAAAAATGTGTTTCCAGTTTTAGTCCTGAAAAATATGGGTAGGTAGGGATTCTCTCTTTTTTTGCTTTATTTAACAAATGCAGGTAAGTATGTAAAACTGAAATACATATCAGAACCATTGTTTTCTCAGGACCTGTCCCTCCGTTTGCTTCTAGGAAAAGGCAAAATATTTCATCTGACTAACTCAAGCAAAAGTGTTTCTGACTATGCTTGAAATAACTTCCAAGAGGGTTTAAAATATATAATAATATAACTAAAATGCAAATATCAGATCGTACAAGGACAATGAAGGCTGTGGCCGGCGGGTTTTTGTTAGGCCATAGGGTCTGTCAGGAAACAATGGCTTTTCTTCGCTTCATCTGCATTCTGAGAGGTGATGGTGGCAGGAGGGTAACAACAGCACTAATGTAGCGACTACCCCGATTAACTGTCACAGACTCTGATAAATGACGTGCTGAAAAGTGGTAAATGACTCGTGCGACAAACGGAATCCACTCTAAACTACGTGCGTCAATAACCCCCCCCCCCCTTCAACAAATAGACCAGTACAAAAGGTTTGTCACTTTTGACACAAGTGAGAGCGGGTATTTCCCTAATGCATGTAATTCGTCATTATATTCTTTTTACGCTTTCAATCTGTAAGTCATTGTATGCTTTTTACGTTTTCAGTCTATAATTACATAGATGGATGCATACGGTAGCAAGACAAACTTCTGACAAGGAGGGATTTAAAGTTTTTAAATTTCCCTGCTTTAACTTAAAGATACTCTCGCGAAATATCTTATGAGGACATATAGAATATCTTTTTTGAACATTTGGTATTTCGAAATTCTATTTTAACCCTTTTACTGTATGTCAACAATATCGCACTGAGGTGTAGTTGGTGCGTCTGGAGGGAGGGGGCAAATCTTCTGATATGATGGTACATCATCAGGCGGAAACTACGGGGGCCCAAAGAGGCACTTTTTTGTCTCTTGTCTTTTTTTAATCCTGTCCTTTTGTTCCACCGTAGAAAGGAGATACAAATGTTATGTTTAACAGGTGTTAGAACTTCGCAATACCTTATCTCATGATCTCTGTTTTTTTTTTCCCTTGAATAAAAATTAGACTGAGTATGGTAGCATTTTTGTGGGAAGGCGGGATGAGATTGGGGAGGGGGGACGTCCAATACCACAAAGGAGTTGGTATTTTTTGGCATGAGATATTGACTCAAATTAACCTTAACTAATAGTAGGCCCAGACCCAGGCACTCCCTTCTTAGACCTGCTCCTTGTTTGGCCATGATAAGGTTATTTTAAGTAAATTCACAAAGTACTCACGGTTTTGCCTGTAGAGAAGAGGCAGGTGCCACGTAGTTGGAGGGGATGTAGCCACGTTTCTTGGTGACGATATTTCTTGCTTGCCACCAGTCCCCGTCCATCATGTTTAGGATCTCTAACTTTTCGCCCTTGCGAAAGGACAAGTCCTCCGTCGTGCGAGCCGAGTAGTCGTGTAGCGCGATGAAGATCTCCTTCTTGGCGCTACTGCTGTTACAACGTGAGGGCAGGGCAGGTGGGCCACCGTACCCCCCGCACATCCCAGTCGGCGGAGTAGGAGGCACACCACCGGCAGCCTGAGCGTAGCTCATGCGGTTATTCTGCGCCATACCGTTCATCGGCATCATGGGCACGCCGCCATTACCGAGCATATCGCCGGCGACACTAAAGCGTGGGTCCATGAAGCCCTGCATGTTCTGGCGAAGCAGTCCCAGCTCCATTCCGTTGGGAAAACCTCCGTTCATGGCGTAGTTTGGGTGCTGTGGAACCGTGCCCAAACAGCCACCCATGGTTTTATGACACAGCGCACTATTCTGCACAACTATAATAAAATATGATCCTTTCTTTTTTCCTTCGGAAACGCTTACCACCCTACAACTACTCTATTCCAACAAAAGAGGTCTCCAGAAAACAGCGCTACTAAGTTATAAGTAATCGAGTCACCTTACAAGGTTCGTCTCAACCCGAGAGCACCTTGATCCTTTGTTTTTCGTCCATTTTACTGTCCTGCCATATCCACACGACCACTCCCAGCGATACACACAAACACCCTGTGGGCGAAAAATGCGTCAATCGAGACTAATTTTCCACCTAACTCATGATTATTCATTGTTTAATCACCTCGCAGTTCTGAAAAAAAATACTAGTAGCTGCAGCGGCTTTTGCTGTGTAATGTTTTTCATCGTCTTCCACAGAATAATCATTCCACCTAATCATTTTCTTCAACTCACTAACTGTCACTTGGGCGATTTTTTTACGTAAATTGTTTTACGTAGATTATATGTACATTTAACAACACGTTGATCATTTACCTTTCTATAGGCAAAAGGTCAAACCTAAGGATTGATTTGTCTTGAAAAATTCATTTTTATATAAGCAAGCAACTTTGTACAGCAAATATCGCGGATATGTACAATAGTGGTAAATGTCTTGATTTGACTCGTTTTGTTACATGTAACCCTTTAGGCGGAACGTTGTTATTTTTAGTGGCTGTTGTTTTCCCCACTCGCCGCCATATTTATACCAAGTACTACAATGCAGTCTTGGCCAATGGAGGGTTGATTTTGTGATGTCAAAGGTCGAGCGATAGTTGTGACCTTTCATGCCTAATATACTATGCTATATTTTGTGTAATATATACATGATATATGGCATACACGAATATACTTCAAAGTTAACAGTTCATGATATTAGTAATGTTTTCGTAATAGACTGTAAAACATTGACACGTTCGAAGCTAACACGGCATTTGAAAGCTGAATGAAAACTTTATACGAACTGCTGAATACGTCACTGCTGTCTGCTGATATACATAATAGATGCTCTGACCTCAATGAAAAGTGATCAGCAGTCCCATCTAAATATTTCATGAATAAACAAAAAAATTGGAGATTTCAAATCCCCAAAAAATATTAAATATGATGCCAAGCTTCATACTTCCAGTTTATATCGTTTCGTTTGCCCCTATGATAGATGTAGGCCGATCTAAAAGTTAGCACTACCGAAAATTTCCCGAAAGTATAGGTCTGATGAAGGATCTACAGCCGGCAGTAATACCAAGTGACCTGGCTCTCCTGATGGGACATAAACGATCGGTACTTAGCAAGTGAACCATCGGATGGTCTCTCTTTCAACTCCAACGTTCCCATGAGACGCCTACGTGCACGCCATCACGTTTATCTCACCGCGTTTCTTAGTCGCCGTTGGTGATTGAAAATGGTACGATATAAGTAAATGTAAACTTTAAAAAAATACTAGTCCACACATTAAGAGAAAATTAAATGACACAGTACATGTATATCATAAAATTAAATGACACAGTACATGTATATCATAAAATTAAATGACACAGTACATGTATATCATACTTTCGAAGTAGAGGAAGCCAATATAGCCAATACAACAAGAAATCGAAGATCTCATACCTTCATGAAATATTGAGAGTTTTTGTGAATTGCTTGTTTTATTCATCATTGTAAATTTTTCGCTGATTATATCTAAGTATTCTGTCACTGTCTTTGATAAGGCAACAGGGATGCATGTAGCAGGAAATAAGATGACCTTTTCCAACCCTTCCCGGGACGTTTGACCTAACTTCCTGTCAGTGTCCCCGACGTGACTATTACGTGGAAATAACAGACAAAGCACTCTATTTCCTATTTTTAAAAAAAGAAAGAAAATTAAATCATAAGACTTGTCCTAAGGTGGAGTATGCCAATAAAAAGTCAAACAGGTCCATAATGATTTTAAACGTGAACCTCAGAAAGCAAAAACGATCTGAAACATGACATAATTTTATCGTTATGATATATTGACGTAGCTTCCATATGCCATTTGTTGACCTTGAAATATGAAATATAAAGCTACAAGCATTACTCGTTCATAAAATCATACCGAGTAGCAAGGGCCAGGGACGTGCTTGTGTCTTCAGGTTATTTCCAAGGACTTTCGTTTGATTCTCAAATGTCGTTAAATGGGTTTAAGCTGAGACTTCATGGCAGTGTGGTTAACTTTGTCATCTTTAATTAGCGTAGAAATTTGAAAAAAAAATCCATTGGGTGATGTATTTAGTCAACCCAAGATGGTGGATCCAAGCTGATATCTGTGTGGCCATTTTATGACGTCATTTGACATGGCTGCTGCTGAAATGTATTCTTTAGTTTTACGGGAATTTAAACGATTTCAGATAAAACCAAATACACATGTAAATGTACCATAATGGCGTCATAATTCGTCATAATGACATAAAGGTTGTGGTAAAACCTAATTGTACTACAGTATCCTGGTTTTAGTGGTCATAAGACACGTAGTTTAGACGTTGCAGGTACATGTAGTGAGCCTTCAAAAGTCCGGACTGAACAGAGTTCAAAGCGCCGGAGGTGTAGAGCTGATTATCTCCTTTATAATGTCTCTGAAACTGACTACACAAGGATAAGTCACGCGATCGATAGAAGATCAGTATAACGTGAAGCCGACAGTGCAGTCCTTTTGAAACACCTTTGTAACATGGTTCTGGTAATGCCAGGGGAACCGTCCTGTGCCCAGACAAAGAAACTTGACCAGTTCCCAAAGGTGGTTCAAACAGGGGCTACATCATGCGCGTCATCATAGAAACTTTAAAAAAGCATCGTGTGGGACAGCTGCCACTCAAGGGTGAAGATGTGCATTGGGCGTGGGAGGAGCGCCGAGTCACGTCTGACGCAAGCACGCCTATAGAAAGAGCTGCAGTTCCAACAGTTCAGCCACTTCTTGCCAAGATGATCACGAAGACCCATCTTCTCCTGCTGGTGAATGTGGTACTGAATGGAGCGGGACAAGGCATTGTCTTCACAGGGGTAGGTCAGTCGTTTGGCAGCGATCAGTTATCTGTGGTATTATGTTTTTAAGTACGGCTACTTAATTCCCTTAAATATTTTTTTGGTTGCGAATAAAAACACCAACCGGTATGGTTATCGTAATTTTACGGTTACAATCATAGACTACATGACTATTGAAGCCCAGGAAACTGCCAAGTCTTTTTATTTGCCTTATTCTTTCACAGTAATAATGTTGTGTAAACTGCAGGTTTCAGATGATCTAACAGGATCTTTCATTTTCCACAATTTAGAACTTTAGCTTACAAAGCACAACTTGCATTGTGTTTCGATTCTGCAACCTTTACAACGTTTGTTCGTACCAGTACCGGAAAAATATAATATGTATATAACGTCATATAGATGTCTGAATTCGCACGTGGAATTCGATGAGCAAAGTAAGGTAAGCCGTCTCATTACTGCAGCAATACTTGAACAGGAACGTAGGGTCGATTTTACCTGCCCAAAGATCCAGCCTTGCCCCTGGCTTGTTGCAAAGTGGCATGCTTTGCTTTTAATACTATTATATCATCTTTATCCTTCAACTTCAAAAATGAAGACATGGCATGATATACATTGAACAGCAGAAACATTTTTCAACGTATGTACTAAACGACAATTTTATTGTCGCTTTGGGTCTGTATCGCGCAAGTTGCACAATCACGCTTCTGCCCATGACGGAGAGGGTCATGATTCTGGCATATGATTCTGACATCACGGGTATCAGCGCCCAATGTAGCAAACTGACAAAACATTCCGTCATGAAACAAAACTTGAATATTTTCAACACTCTTGACTAGATAGATTGTGTGCATCAGTTTCAACGTTGTGTGTTCAAAGTAGTTATTCAATTGTTAGTTAATAGTACAGTAACATGTTATAAGTGAATGAAGCCTCTCAATTCTGCAGCAAAAAGTACTTAGTTTGCTCGCTGCATGATGCAACTAAACGAAGGAATATTCCTTACGACGCGGACACGTTCGTCGTAGGTCGCCATAGATCTGAGACAGCCTTTTCCGTATCCATACAACTGAATGTTGCAGGAAATGTGTTATGATTAACCCAACAATGTCCTATAACTTAGATAAAACGACGTAGGTGACAGGGCCCTTAAAATTAATGGTGAAGAGATTTTAGGAGGGTCTGGATACATCTAAAATATGGCAAACACATAGCCAATGTATTATACATTTAACTGCATCTCAAGACTTCAGTACTCTCGGCACGTGTACAAGTATTGTGGGTAGAGCAGACAATGACGTTTAAACAAACAGCCGTTTTACGTTTCATTTTGCCATCCACTATGCCATTGTAAAAAGAATCCAGTAGTGTGATCTTTGTTGGAACATGGGGAAACAGGCAGTAACGTTTGGCGTTGATGTATTCTTCTACCCCTTGAACTGCCGTACCCTTTCAGGCTGATTTCATGCAAACTTGGATCTCCAATTAAAACAGCACGGAATTTACAGTCATATGTGTTGCTTTAAAGTCAATGGCATTAGGCCAAACAAAAAGTTCAATTCAGACCTTTCTTCAACTGTATTGTAACACTGGGTAAATGTCAACTTACATTTCAAGCTTATTTGGGACTGTACGTACCAACACAGTAGCGTGCCCCATTCACCATACGCAGGGCTGTTATAAAACCCCTTAAGCCCCTAGCATGAAAGTGGTGGTACAAGTCATTAATAAATAAAGACTAAGCTTTAACTTCCAACACTAACTACAAAGAGTTGGGACTTACCCCAACTTTTCGGTTGACCCCATCAACCTTGTTCATGGAATGGACCCGTCAACCGGAAATTTGGGGTAAGTCGCAATTCTTTGTAGTGTTCGAAGTTAAAGCGTAGTCTTTATTTCATAACCACATAGCCCCTGTTACCCTTCTGAAAGACCATCCGACTGCTCCCAGGCACCTAGGTCGGGGCGGAGTCTGGAATCCATCCAGTTCTAGCACATGTGGGCCCCTCTGATTGTATCGAGCACAACATCACTTTCCAAACTTGTAAAGAATGTAAAGGAATTAAGAAAGCCGGAGATGGTCTGAGAAACCCTCTAATTCTTCCTGCAAGTTTTAAATCTCCGATTTCTTGTTCTCCCTACAGGAATGTCGGAGCGACGATCATTGCTTACGTCACGTGTCTCCGGACACCTGCTGCGCATTCTGGGACCCAAAAGGGGGACTGAACGTCTGCAAGAAACTGGGAGAGTGGCGACAACTTTGTCAAGTCACCCCAGAAGACATCCCCTACCCGTTCAGCGGCAGGAAAATAACCTGGATCTGCCCCTGTGGTCCCGACCTTACGTGCCGACCACTGCTCCCGGGCGCAAAGTTTGGAACATGCCAGTAAACAACATCAAGGTAACAAAGCGGACCGGCAAATCTCAACGTGCTAGATGCTACACACGGATACATCTTGGACAATGTATCTTACAGGAACAAGAATCTCCTCACAGACAATGCCTTGCGGGACAAGACATAGTAAGCTAGCGCTAAGACCACTATCACTCGTATTGGAACAAAGCTAGCGCTGAGGTGATCACACATAGTTTGTATTTAGTGTTACAGCGGCTGTAACTTAAGTGGCCATTAAGTCTGTTAGGTGACCTATACTTTCCAGGTATACGTATGATTCTTTAGAATGTCGTGAAATAACATCTATAACATCACATATACTCGAATGAAAGCTCATCTGTGCTGGTAGAATCCCTAATTGTAAAGTTTAAGCTTTGTTCTAGCACAACAGAAACACCGTGAATTTTCAGTTCGGAATCGGTGAGCGTGATGACGTCAGGGGTGAAAAAGTGACCGGAAGACGGAATGTACCACGGTTCAGACGTGGTTGGTTCACTCCTGTCGTCAGCACGTCTCCGGAAAGTCAGCGCAGTGAATCAGTCATCTGAGAAAGGTACTCAGGTCGACGACATCGACTTCAATTCATGGTGTTTCTGTTGTGTTTAAACAAAGCTTAAATTTTACAACTTTATTTATTAAAAGTAAACATAGACGTTTATTGCAAATTCATGCCCGGGGGGCTAATTGCAGATTACAAACATAAAAGAACAATGAAACGTAGTATAAAATAACTAAAATCTACATGATAAAAGGTAGTTGTCTAGAGCTATCATTTATATGTAGCGATTTCTACCGAAAATCGGTGCTAATTTACCTATCAGTACATAGAAACACCTCTGCACGAATTGAGTTCCTTCTAATGGCTCCAGAGGTACAGTCACGTCCGCGCCGCTACACCTGAGAGTACTTCCACCACCATTTAAATGGAATTGTCGTAGGCCGTCATTAAGGGCGAAGTTGATGGAAGCATTGGCGGCCAGCATTTCCCTTATCATCATTTGTACTCCTAAAGGCTTTCAGTTGAATAGCTAAATGTGAATTTAGTGTATTCAAAATGCCTTACAAAAGTAATATGTATACATACAAGTGAGATTAAAAATATTAAACCAAGAACACAAGACAGTCCATTGTACCAGAAACAAGACAGTCATTCAACCAACCACCTTTATATAGTTTAAAAGGTTTCACATTAAACTTCTTACCCAGCATACAACTTAGATGTACAAGCCAGAGTGTGAAGACCATCACACATTTAGGACCTTCCCATACTTTCCTCCCAACCTAGGCTGGTGCTGATTTTCGAGTGAGTCTAGAGTTTATCCTGTTCTAGCTCCAGATCTATCCTCTATCGCAAAGACTTATATTGACTTTCCCAACTTTGGTTTGTAAAAATGTATAGTCAGATGACCAGAAAATTGGCTTTGTGTAGTGCTTTAAGGATGTTTAGTTTGAGCTGCAAATTGATAATCATAATAAATTGTACCTATACATATATGGATACCACAGAGGGAAAAAATGCCAAAAATGCTAGGGTCAAACTGTTGAGCCAGTTAGACCAAAGTGATATACACTGTCATGTTATATGTCTGTGTGAACCAAAGTACTGGTATATATGGAAGTGTACTTGGGAAGTAGTTATACATGTCAAACTAAAGAAAAGTAATCTGTGTAGAATATACATCTCTTATTTTCATTTCTTTAAGATATTCACTACAAAATCATTACAGTCTACGGAATACCGGGAGTTGAGTCTGGTACAGCCAATCATCTGTGAAAAAGGAGAAAGCAAATAAAGAAAAAAAGAAAGCAAAATGCAGATCACATGTAACTGATTAGATCATTAAAGAATTTAGGAAATACTTGTGGAGTGCCAAGCCTCTTAACTTCATTTCTTTTTAACATCTATACATCTGTATTTCAGTTCTGTTAAACCATCAACCATTTATTCATTTCAGTGCTAAAGGATTTTTTCTCTATGATGATGCTGTTTAAGACCCTTATAGCTGGTATGAGCAGCAGGCACAGCCAGCTTGTACCATAAAGTCTTCAGCTCATTTGCCTGGTTCACTGGCTCAGCCAGTTTTGGATGTAGCCTTTGATGGTTTCCCTTGCTTGTTGCAGCTCAGGAGGGTCCCCAAACCTGGCTGGGTACATGTTGGCACAGTGTGCAGTTCCTGTTGGAATTTGAAAAAAATCACAAAATATGTATACTAATAGCTGTAAATCAGGAAATGTCTGAAGTGGGTTTATTTCTATAATGTGATATATAGTTCTATCATACTACAGAATCATTTCAACCGTTAACTTCAAACACTGTGAAAACCTCCTTCAAGTTTTCTTTCATACTACAAAATAAAACAATGCCACTGCAAAGATAGATGCAATTATTAGCATGATATATTGCAATGAGTAAACAAAGTAAGAGTTGATAGCAGTCTTTTCTATGTCCAGAAAAATGTATGAATATTGGCACATATGCCTTTGCATACAAGCACGAACTATACTAAATCTTTTAATGGACATCAAAGAAAACAGAACATTGAAACCAATAAACCAAAAAACACCAGTTTCTTTTTAGATCCCAACCATTTACCTTTTATGTAGATGGCATGTAAGTCTGTGCCTTCTGGGTCTTTGGTAATTCCCAGGGCATGCCACGGATCAATCGACCCATTTGGGAAGACAATCTTCGTTCCAGCAATTTTCAAAGCTCCATAGTTGGTGTTTGTTCTCTTTATGCCTTCCATGAGTGTAGACTGGTTGAACTGAGGCCCATAGATGTCAGAACATTGCTGTAATGAGAAGCTGTAAAGGGAGAGATTTTGTTTTTTATATACTACATAGTCAACCCTACTGCAAGCTATAACTTCTACATTTCTACAGACCCATACAATTCTGTTTTCCTGGCCCTTTAAATGTCTCCACTGGGTGTAGTTTAGTCTGCATCTATTCAACTGTACTTAAGCCTCAGGGAGACTCATATTCAGCAACTGAGAAGTATTCACAACAGTCTTACTGTGAAGTCAATTTAACATCTTGGTTCTATTACTTTCTTATTTTATATTCTACAAAAAAAGATAATTGTCTCAGTTGATATTGAAAATGTCCTTACTATGTGACCAAAGCACCTGTGCATTAAGTGTGACGAGGAAACACATTACAAGCCCATTTAGCAAAAAGCATGGGCACTGGCAAAATCAATGGGATGGGACCTTGTCAGTGACAGGACATATGTTTGCTGTTATTCCCACTGGGACTGCTAGGAGGCAGACTTTTTCTGGTGGCTACAAATCCCACCTACTGTACACTGTATTATACATTTTTTTGTACTTCAATATCTGTAGAGATGAGATGATTATCTCTTGATTTCTCCAATGACAACTGTTTCACCCCTAATCTTTGAAAGATGTCCTTCAAACATTATCTTGGACAAACACTGAGAGACATACTTGGCACCCAAGCCTGCTCCCAATCATCATATGACATATATCCATTAGGAACTACTTTGCTGCAGTTAAGTGCACAAACTGCACACTGGGGAAACAAGACACCTGAAACATGAGACATTTCCTATTGCTCTCCACAAAAGTTAACTCCGGATCTGGAGGTATTGTTTTGGGTGGCTGTTCTGTGGGTGTGTGTTTCTGGTGGTTTTAATAGCTTAATTGGTGGCATGGTGGGTGGGAGGTGATTTGGTCCTTTGACCTCAAATTCAACCCTCATGTAATCAGTCTACAGTTACACCGATTTCCCCTCACTTTCTGTGACTCGACTGTATTCAGAATAACTGGATACAAGCAAATACTAGTAAACAGAGAAACACACCTAAGATGAAACCTCCATCCCTGAAGATAACTAACCTGAGTGGGAATCCATCCCCAAAGGGCTGGTTTGGAGAGTCTGAAGTCTGGTAGAATCCAAACTCTGTACATGTTTGATAGATCCACTGGCGACCTAGAAAGGTAACACAACAGTTCACTAGCACAAGGTTCCTAGTACTTAGAATTTAGCATTAGAGTTTCGGATTCGAGCTCTATAAACAGGCAGTAAGGTATATAATTAGGTTTTTGCTGACATGTTACTCTATTTCATGCATTACATCTAAAATTTATGGTACACTTTTAGGTTAGGTGCCCACTTGAGCCCTATACATGTCACAGCAAAGTAGTTCCAACCTCCTTCTGATGCTGCACTCTCCCAAGATGTCTCACGGAGCTCCTTAATCATGGCAGTGTAGGAGATGTCCAGACATTTCTGTTCATATGTCTTCATCATGAGGCTGTTGACAGCTGCATACCTGTCCACCAATGGCATGGAGATGTCATTCATCATGCTACACAGGACATCCAGGGTGATGTTTGTGCCCACTGCACCCTGGGAACACAGCAGGACATAGAGTCACGATTACATCATTTCCACATGGAGGGTCCACTAGGAGGGTGACACACTTCAGTGCTGATCACTTCTGGGTACAGAAGTATTGTTTTGGGTGGCCGAGCTGTAGATTTGTGTGTCAGCGACAGTTGCATGGAGGGTGGAAGGTGAATTTGACAGTTGTTTGATAGAGAGGTCAAGTTACAAGGTGATCCGGCATGCACTGGGTGGGAAGAAGTCAATTCACCACCACAGATACACAACAAGCTCTCAGCCTGCAAGGTTTCTCTAGTAAGTGTGTTGAACGTACACCAAACCACCTCTTTGGTTGTGACAGTAAATTCACAACAACTATATAGACTTCCCAGAAGTTGGAAACATCTGACTTCTTGTTACTGGAAAAGTGATGGGGTTGATGGGCATTCAGAAACTTGCAAACTATATTTTACCAATTAAGTAACAATGCATTAAAAATATGAATTTTTTTATCAATCAAAATTATGCACATTACAACGACTTACCTCAAACTCCCTGTTGTCCTTGTTGTACTGTACCACACCCATAAAGTTCCCAGATATTGTACTCCAGAAGTTTGCCACATCATTTGCAACATTTACATCCAGGGGTGAGCAGAGTCTGTCAGACATAAAACATATCCAACCACTTTACAAACTTGATACTGTAAATTGTGAGATGCAGTGATTTCAAATGCGATGTCCTCTTAACACAACATGAAACTGCAAAATATGTGTTTTGTATTCCTTTTGTACTACAGAATTGTTTCTACCGCAAACCTCACACCATGAAAACCTCCTTTTTCTCTCATATTGTCAAAGGGAAAATGCTTGGACAGAATCAGTGAGAAATTTACATAAGTGAAAAAACCCTGAACTTTATTTCAAAGCTCTAAATATTTCACGGAGGTATGAGATCTTCGACTTCTTGTTTCTCTTGTGGATGGGTCATACAGAAAACAGTAAATGTAGTCACACATAGTATCATGATTGACAAATGCAGTAACCATGCAGTAACCATTCCTTTAACCGGAGCTCAGAGAAGACCTACTTGAAGAGCTTGCTGAGATCCTTCACTCCCTCCTGTGTTTTCAGCATCTGCTTCACTGATTCAGTGGCTTCCTGGATGTTCTTGGTACACTCAGGGCCAGTGGTAGCCAAGGAGTCTCTAACCACCTCTACATACTCTGGAGGAAATTAAACATCCTATTTACTGTCAAGTAATTACAGTTTCTTGGCACCGATAGGCTAACAGTGGATTTGTCCTGTCCTTGGTACTGAATGACTTTTGTTTCTGTACTTGGTGCTGATTGGCTTGTGGAAAAGAATGTGACATTTGCTCTGTCCTTCGTGCTGATTGGTTAGTTTATAGCTTTAGTTTCTGTACTTGGTGCTGATTGGTTTGTGCAAAAGAACATGGTATTTGCCCTGTCCTTGGTGCTGATTGGTTGGTTCATGACTTTTGTTTCTATGATTCAAATAAAGAGGTACATAATACAGTAGGGATTGAGATCAAAATGACAATATAACAAGTGAGTGAGTGAGTGAGTGAGTGAGTGAGTGAGTGAGTGAGTGAGTGAGTGAGTGAGTGAGTGAGTGAGTGAGTGAGTGAGTGAGTGAGTGATAGTGAAAATAAAATAAATTTGTATTGACAAGGCCAACAAAACCGTTTTCTTCAGACCATTCAAACCTTGTCTCACTTGAGCAGTTTCATGACTTTTAACAAAATAGTATCTCAAACCTAGTTCAAACCTACCCACAAAGTCCAGCTCAGCAAGTAAAGGCCCACTGGTGGCCACTGCTCCTGCTACCAGATGGGGGTACTTCAGACGGAACCAGGCAGACAGGGAACCTGAGAATCATCCCAAACAAAACTCATGATATACTCAAAATTTCACATACATACATATTTATTCAATTACACATATATATTTGCAAATTGTATTAGTCACAGTGCTTAGGACAACAAATTTTCTAATGGATAAAAAATGGAAGATGCACAATTTTAAACAGTCTCTGATGGATTAGTTACATTTTGTCATTGCCATTCAGAAGTCCTACTTTATCAGACGTACCTGGGTATGAGCCACCAAACGTGATCCACTTGTTATCAGTTAGGCCCATTTTCTCCACCATGTAGTTACGGAAGGATGCCAGGTCAGCTAGGGCCTGCTCACTACTGAGGTACTGAAGATTCTCAACACTGGTGTCTCTGTAGGGAGAAATTAGTGGGTTTTTTTTATGCAGAAAAATATGTATTTTGCAAGACAACAGTGACAAGAATGTCAACAGACATTACCCAGGAAGTTCAGGCATCGTAGTTTCTGCCTGCAAAGTGACACAAGCCCAAAAGAGTCTGTCTCTGAGTATGAGACAAAAACATATACCAAACAATCAATGAACTGAAATAAAGTCATGTATACCCAGGTGAAAGAAGTGGACATTGCGCTACACAAAGTTGCAGTACTTACTCAGTAGGGTGGCTCTTTCCGTAGTACCTATGCTCCAGCATGAGACATAGAGCTTTGAACTCCTTTGCATATTCAATCCAAGTCCCAGTCACCATCCATAAGGGGTTAGCTGTGCCCTCTCCTCCAATCATTAGGAATACAGGTCCCCCTGGCTTGAAGAATGTGTCATTTACAAAGTACCTCTGCAAAGCAAACATAGTGTAAAACTAGAAAGGCCAATATTTGCTTTGGAGCAAATACAGCGATGGGTTCACCACATTTTACGACATGGCAGGGAAAGAATGGGAAACACAAGGGAAAACAATGATTTACATTGATATAACTATAATATGAAGTAAAATACAACTAAAACAACAGTTGGATAGCTATTCCCTACTTTATTGGTTAGGATTTTTAATTGCATAATGCAAACTGTTGATTTTCAAAATAAAAAAAAAAACGTCCATGCCCGGCATTCCAATGCTGGAGCAGGAAAGCTTGAAATACCTACCAAAACACTTGAATACAGACATACTGTCAGTATGGAAATGCTTCTGTGCAGGTGTTAATCAAGTTAAATCCCAACAGCCAATCAGCAAGAAGTATAGAGGAAAGCTGCATGCCTATTGGTTGATGCCCTGCATTCCATTGCGATGACTCATGCCCAAACGTGGTAAACAAGGCAAACTAACACAGTAATACATTTGCTATAACACAGCCAAAAAACTCAAATAAAACCATTCTAAAAGCCTGTATCACAATAATTTAAAAAACGCCTAGGGGTATTTGCCCACTGTACCTCCATACCAAATTTCAGGACCTTAGGCCCTAAAATGAAGAAGCTGAATCCATTTAAAGATATGGCAGGAGGAGGAGGAGGAGGAGAAGGAGAAGAAGAAACATCAGAAAAAGCAATATGGTTTCACCACACCACTTCGTGGTGTGGTGAACCCATAATAATGCATGGAAGGACATGGGGGGGGGGGTCACAGACACACAAACACCACTCTATAAAAATATCACATCGTACACAGACACACACACTCACCACTATAAAAATATCACATCGTACACACGTACACAGACACACACCACTCTATAAAATATCGCGCTTTATTCTTTTTAGTCAAATATCATTTAAGTTTGATGATATAATATTAAAATTCCCGTGAGATGGATACATAGTTATATATATAGATACGGTCGACAGATGTCCACATGATGATCATGTGATCGTAGGAAGTTGGGGTGGGGAGGGGGGTGCTACTGACCTGTTGCCATGTCCTGAGGTCCGCGTCGTTATAATGGTCTAGCCGCTGTGTCA